TGTTTTCTAGCAGAAGTAGGAGATTTCCACCTAACTTCTCATTTTCCCCACAGATCCCAAATACAAAAAGGGACAACAGGCTGTAGCACATCCCTGGGACAACAGAAGGGCAGCCTGCAGCATGACATGATGAAGGTCACCTATTCAGATAATGACTTTAGCCTTCTCTGGTCCATGTCATTACCTCAACAAAGTAATTACCAAGGATCTTTGACTCCAAGTAGTCTACTTCTACAGACTATTCCCAACTCTGTGGCCATGCTGGGAGAGTAACCCAGCACCCCCCATCTTAAGTTGCCCACCTTCCAAAAACCACCTTCAAAACTGGAGGGCCAGGGAACAGTGAGAAAGGTTTCCCTAAACTGTCAACTATCTCTCTATCACCAGATAGTCTAGGTAGGGGGAACTTGAAGGGTCCATATTCCTTTGGTTTCTGTAGAGGGAGACAAAAAACCCATCAGATAACAGAACTCTTCTTTAAAAGAAAGTTTAGTATTTGGAGTTAAAATATGCACTAGTAAAATACATGAGAAGTACATACATACACAAACATATGCCTACACATAAATATGCATGTCTTTTATCAGAGCTGATGAAATAGGCCTCTTCTTTCTAAAAAACAGAAAGGAGTCCTGCCCACCTGTGATTTCAGTTAATCTAATTTCTCTCAAACTTAAGAGATTAGAGGGAAAAAGAGAAATCCTCCAAGCACGAAAAAGAAATCCACTTCTAGAATCATATCTAGGGTGGTGAGTTTGGCTCAGCAGTTAAGGGCACTGGCTGCTCTTGCAAAGGACCTGGATTCAGTTCCTACCATCTTCATGGTGGCTAACAACCGACCATAACTCCAGTTCCAGAGGATTTGACACTGTTTTCTGGCCTCTGCACATGGTGATGACATGGATGCACTTTCAGACATGCAGGCAAAACACTCATACACATAAAATATAAATAAGTAAATTTAAAATTTTTTAAGATCATATCCAAGAAAATGTGGCCGATATGATATGATGTGACATGGTGTATGGCACAGGTGATAGCTGAAGATGAGTGCAGATGGCCTAAGGATGAAGAGCACAGACACGTGAGCACCCTGATGGAGATGACTCATCCCTTTGTGGAGGCACAGTTCCAGTCCAGGCCAGTCCTAGGACACTCTGTTCAGCTTTAGCGTCCCAGCTGAACTTGACGATATTTGGATCAGAACCCTTAGAACTACCCAGAATTACCCCCTCAAATCACATCATATCCATTACTGCTAGAGACTGCCTCCAGAGGGCTTTCTCTGGAATGCAGGTGGCTAGGGACTTCTGGCATCCTCAAACTGAGATCATAGCACATCATCCATTCCTAAGACTAGAATCAAAACATTCTCCCACACAGAGACTAATTCAAGTCATAATATTTGATCCACGTTACTATTTCTTTATGTAACTTAAGACAGGGGAGAAAAGTCTAGTCTCTTTCTTCTGTTAAAGACATTTGCAGAAATTCATGTGAAGCCAAAGCTCAGAGGACAAGAATAAGCCAGGGAATTAAGATCTCTTGGAAAAGGCAGAAAACACCACCCAACAAGATTTCACCATGTGCTGTTAAGTCTATATAAACTTGGTGGTGAGGTAAACCAAATAATTAATGGCTTTGTAACCACCAGTCAATCATTTATGTGGCTCAAGACCTAAAAGTCCAGGCATCTATCTGCTTAAGAAAGCATGTTAGACAGGAGTCTCCATGCCCTTTCCAAACCCGTATATAAAAGCCTTGAGAACTGAAGGGCATTTCTGGTCATTCTCCCTAGGCAAGCACACACAATGCTGTGGACTCCTCTACCTGATAGAACAATGCTGGATTGTTCTTAACATTCTATTATGCTGGTTCATGTCAGTCTTCTTAACTTTATTTCTTTCTTTAGTTTTTCAGACCAGGTCTCATTGTGTAACTCTAACTGACTTGGAACTAGCTATGCAGACAAGGCTGGCCTCAAACTCATGGAGACTCACCTGCCTCTGCCTCCCAAGTATGTGAACTAAAGGACTGCCCAACTTTCATGTCAGTCTTGATGTCTGGTATTTTTAATACTTAAATGATTTATCCTCACATGGACAAGTGCAATCTACTTGATCACAAGGCTGAGATCTTAAACGTTTTTTAATATTTTATTTATTATTTTTATTTTATGTGTATGAGTGT